GACAGACAGACAGACAGACAGACAGACAGACAGACAGACAGACAGACAGACAGACAGACAGACAGACAGACAGACAGACAGACAGACAGACAGACAGACAGACAGACAGACAGACAGACAGACAGACAGACAGACAGACAGACAGACAGACAGACAGACAGACAGACAGACAGACAGACAGACAGACAGACAGACAGACAGACAGACAGACAGACAGACAGACAGACAGACAGACAGACAGACAGACAGACAGACAGACAGACAGACAGACACTGTTCGCAAAGCTCGCTACAAGATGAATTCAAATTTTGTGTGATCTCAGGAGTGCTCCGTAATTTAATGTCAAGCAAATAGAAGTGCCAAAGCAATGTGATCTGCGAAGAGTGTGGTTGCAGCGGTGCGGACTTTATGCTGAAAACCCATTACTAACAGTACTTGCAAATAAATTGTTGTATGTTTACCAGAAGCACTTTGTTGTGAGTATGAATTTTTAGATTAATGCTAATTTTTATCTGTAGAAGATGTTCGAAATTTCAGACGTCAGACTACCAAGTCGTAAATGTCAAAGCTAAAAGCTATTCTCTTCTCAAAGAACCATATTAATTAAAGATGTTTTACCACACAAGAACATACCACATCAATCGAGGACTGGAAAATATGTCTACATGTTGCCTGAAGAAGATCCGCTCACGTTACCGTATGCTCGATAGAATCAACAAATGATTCGAATGCTAATACCTATCGACCATAGTGGTTTAAATATAACACCACCCGTTCAAAAGCGTAAGAGGCAAAGTGAAGGAGAAGCATCGTTTGAAAGAACACGCCCGCAGCTTGTAAACCGTGGTGTTTTAACCTACTGTGAGAATCGCAGTTCCATTGCTGTTCAATGTTCCGTTGCAACAACGCACAGACACAGTCAAACCGATGACTTACATTATCGTCCCGAACCATCGATGGCAAATAAGTCAAGTTATTATAAATAGTTCTGTGACAAAACATTCATGGTGGTAAGCTCCAACCGGTATTATCCTCGGATTAAATCCCGATCAAGAATGTCCGGCTGGTTTGATGTCGACATCAGAGTTAATCAACATAATTCTGAGCAAACATTTTTCAGATCATACAAACAGGGACGGTATTAAAAGTTAATCCGAGTTGGAGCTTACCGCCATCAATGTTTAGAATACATAATTCTAGCGTTTGAAATGATAAGGGTCTAACTGAGATGATTGTTTTTCTCTTGCAACTATTGCAGTGAAGAAGCACATTTTGATGAAAAATTTCCAATACAAGGTTGCAAACGGTTGTGTTAGCTAGCAAAACAAACAGCTACCGAATCGAGAAATTTTAATCCTTCTGAGATACCATAAAATACATAAAATTCTAGTGAACGATAGCAAATTTATTTAGCTTCACTTTCATAAAAAATATTTAAAATTGGTGCACTAGTTCCAAAGATATTGACATTTTAGTAATCGTACTTTTGTCTAAAATTCAAAAAATCAAAAATTTTGTATATCTCAAAAATGGCTCTACTTTAATTTTTTCTGACCACGGCATTGAATTCAGCGTAGGATTTTGCCTTAGAAACGTTGGTCAACCACTAAAGTTCACACTTTTTATGTTGTTTTGTAAACTAGTGTAATCAATCATTGCAGTTGGGCCCGTATGATTCTGAATGCTAGATTTGTTAATTCAGATTATTTTAAAGTATTATACAGGGTGCGCTGCAAATATCTCTAAAAAATTACAAAGTTCCTGAATCCATGTAGATTTAAGATCCTTGAATATCAATAATTATCTCTGATGTTCACTAAATGTCTAATAATCTACGAACTTCTCGAAAGTTATATTATTTTCTCTGTAGATTATCATGATTCAATTAATATCTGCAAATATCTCTGAATATCTACGCAATTCCCTTAGGTATAAAAAATATCTAGAAATTTTTGGAGCTTCCCGGAAGATGAAGATCTACTAATTTTTCTGAAGTTGTGCAAATATCTATAAAGATCAGCAAATTTCCCAATAGTTCTGTAAATTTCACTTAAAATCCAAGAACCTCAATAAAATTCTGCAGATTTTTCAGTAGATCTTCTCTTAAGTTCTGTACATTTCTTTGTGGATTCCTGGGCTTCCAGATTTATCTGAAATTCTTTGAAAATTCTTAAAGCTCTACAAATTATCTGAAAATATTTGAATTTCTCTGAAGTTGTGTAAATACTTCTAAAAATCGGCGAACTTTCCAGAAGTTTTGTGAGTTTTGCTGAAGCTTTACAATTTTTTCTAAAAATGTACGAACTTCCTACAGACTTCTTTTAAGGTCTACGGACTTTTCAGAAGTTCTTCAGATCTATCTATTTTCAACTTTCATAGAGTTCTGCAAAATCTTGGACTTTCGTACTTCGCTGAGATTTGTTTTTGGAATTGAAGTACTTTTCTGAAACACTGAATCTCTGAATGTCTCTGAAGATCTGCAAAATTTCTTGCAGATCTACCAATTTCTCTAAATGACTACTCTCCTGAAGTTCTGCAAATATCTTTAAAGTTCTGTAAAGTTGTCTGAAGTTCCGTAGTTTTCATTCTCAAGACCTACGAATTACCTTGAGGCTCAATACATTTCTCAGTAGATCTGTAAACTTGTCTGAAGTTTTGTAAAATCCTCTGTAGGTTCTCGGGCTACCCTGAACATCTGAAAATGTCCCTGCAGATCTTCTAAATTACCTAAATTTCTCAAAATTTATCTGAAAATAGTTGAGCTTGCTTGAAGTTTTCAATGTTTCTTACAAGATCTACAAGTTTCCTTGAAATCTTTTAAATGTTTTATTTTTATACCGCCGAACTTTCCTGAAGTTTTGCAAATTTCTCTGAAGATCCATTAAAATTTATGACGTTCTAAAAATGCATCAGAGAAGCTGCACTCTTTCTTGAAGGTCTAAAAAATTATCTGAGGATCTATGACCATTCTTGTGATTTTTCCAAAGTCCTGTAGCTTTGATCAGAAAATCTACGAACTGTTCTGATGTTCAATAATCTTACAGTAGATCTCAAAACTTTACATTACATTTCACTGTAGATTCTTGAACTTTTCTGAAGGTCTACCAAAATTTTAATATTTACCAAAATTTCTCTTATAGTTTAACAAATAAATCTGAAAATATTTAAACTTGCTTGAAGTTTTGAAAATTCCTTTGAACTACATTCTCTCTTGTGAATTTTTCTAAACTTCTACAAACTTCTTTTAATTTCTGTAAAATTTTCTGAAGTTTTGTAGTTCTGTTCTCAAGATCTACGAACTCCCCTGAAGCTCAACATTAGATCTCCAAATCTCTCTGAAGCTCTAAAAATTCTTAATAGGCTCTCAGACCTGCACGCTTATTCTTATATAATACATACTTTGTATTATATAAAGACTGTTTTGTTGACGGCCAAACACACTGGAAAATAAAAATCAGTCAAATGATACACATTGAATAGGGAAATCGGTTTACCTTGCTGCTGCATGTCATCAAAACACAAATCAAATTCTTGAAATTTTAGAAGAAAAAAATCAATATTTTCATTTCACTTGCGGCTATTTTGCTGAATGAGTCGAATGAAAATTAACCACAAACCTATAACGTTCGACAAATCAAACGTCAAATCTAATCATCATGTCAAAAAAGTTTGAACGCATTCGAACATTTGCATCCGACAAAATTATCGAGTCCACTCGAATCAGACCAACAAATCAGATAGTCTAAACGTACCTTTAGTTATGCTTCTAGCAGGGAATCATTTTATTTTTGATTTTTATTTCATTTATAATCAATTACTGGCATATTTGATCTGAAAAATACTGCTGTTCCTTTTTTTTTAATCCAGCCTTGTTTATGATTTGACCGGCAAATTAATAGCTTCTACGATACTTTTATCTCCGTGTAAGCTGAGCAACCAAAGTTTTATTCCAGGATTGGCAAAAATAAATTCGTGATGAAATTAAGTTGAAATAACATCACGATCCGTAAACAAAATAACACCACTCAATAAGCTTTCCAGACTCATCTGCAGTAGCACTCATGTAACGTTTCTTTTATCTGCCAAAAAAAATGACGAAAAATACCTTCAGGCAAAACGATAATTCAATCACTTCACGGCCGATGAGAATATCACGAAGAAAGAGTCACTTCTACTCCGATATATATACATGTTAACAACCGATTGTATTGGTGCGATATGTGAGCGTGTTAGTCAAAATCCGAGGAAAATAAATAACAAATCGCTGCCAAACTCATTTCGACAGATCTAATTTCATATATCTTTTAGGTTAGTTTGAGGAAAATAATAAACAATTTTACCCGATGATGCACCCACTAGTGTGCGTGCGTTAAACGTCATCAAGCTCTATAGTCTTCTTTGCCACCGTTAGTATTTGTTAGAAGTTTCACTAATCTATGCGTTTTACTGGTAGAATAAAAAAAATCAAACCGCTGTCAAGTCGAACAATTTGCAAGCTGAATTAATAAGCAAATCGATGTTAAACGGCTACACTAGCAAGGTAGGATTTGTGCAATCTTGCGGCGAGAATTCAATGAGACGTTTCTAAAAACTGCAGCTACTCAGTGCTGAGTTCCTTCAGTTTTTAGACATTTATCCATTCAATTGTGTAGACTTTCTTTCTCTTTGGGTAATTCTCATTGGCCGTGTTACCAACCGGCACGATTTGTCAGCCCCAACCAGCCGTAAAACATTATTTTCATATTTTCCGCGCCACTTCGCTTGATAAATTATTGGCCTTCCCAAATTTACATGTGCTGACGGTACTCTTACCGGTACAAGCGCCAGAGGCGCCAATCGGAATCTGCGTAAAAAATCGGGTTTTCCATCAAGAGAAGTGAAACTGGAAATGGATTATTTCCGATCGCATTACCGACAGCCCACCGCTAGTAACTGTAGTTGTTTACTTGTTTGTTTGTTTGATATCTACCTTGGAGCTTCAAGAAAGCAGGAATATTTACCTTAGCGTAACCGCTTCGTTCTGCTTGGGAACGTAGCTTTTCCCCCGGGTAACCATCGCACCGAGCACGTCCAATATTTCCGTCCGGTTGAACTCGCCAATCACGGTCGCATTGTACTCGGTGGACCAGGGAAACCGCCGGATCGTAGCCTGGGTACAGTTGATCAGCCGGTCCAGGTCGACCGTGTCACTCATTGTGTGCTTCTTCCTTGTTTACTCAATCGCGCTTTGCTTTTCGAATACCTTATTTAATCATCAGTACCACTCTACCAATACACACGCGAACAAACGTACATCGCTTCACACGTCACTTCCGCCTCCTCCGAGACGGGGCTAGGAAGGCTGTCATATCAACACATGTCAAACTGCCAGCGTGTTTCCGTTATTGTCCCGCCTATCGCCGCAAGGCTTGACAGCGGTTCTCACGACGAAGAAAGCAATAAAGACGCAGTAAATCTTCTCAATCAATGGCCTTCGTCTTCGCCACCGAAATTTACGGTTACAGAAACCGGATCATATCCGTCAAAGTACGATGAGCACTTGGATTTGCATCAGTTCACGTTTCACTGAATAACTTTCACTTGAACACGCACATGCACACACAAATTGGCTTAATTTTCGGATTGATTTCGGCTGGAAAACCGGCAAAAACGATGATGATGATGCGCGTTCTCTTCGGAAGATTTTTTGAGGTTAACAACACTGCTGGATCATTCGAGACTTGTCCGGGATGAAATTTGAACTCGTGTTCTTTGTGTGAGAGATATGGATGCTAACCACCACGCCGGGGCCGTCCCCCTCGGAAGATGAATTTTTCCCCCTGACAATTCAGACCTGTAATGGAAGAGAAATTTGACAGTCGATCAATTTAAGCCACGTTTGTATTCGGGAAAATGAATTGAATCGAACGATTTGAACCATTCTCGTGTCAGTTAGTTTCAATCATCACATAAAGTTTGAACAACTGATCTTTCAAATGCGTACCGCCCCGAAAAAAATAACGTTTTGATTTTTATAAAAATATTGGAATAAAGATATCGGTAATTTATAAAAATAAACTTTTAATCCCTAATTTCCAAAAAATAATCTAAAGTTTGAAAAAAAAAACTACAAGGAACAGCCCTATGGGATTGTACACAATGGTGACGTAGGAATACGTGGTCTTGTATTATAACTCTGTTTATACTCTTTAGTATGACGCACTTGACATAGATGACCCTCAGCGAATCAAAGAGCTACTGATTCCGATCAATAGCGGTGCGGCTTCTTCCTTTTTCTATGGAAGCTCATGTGGGCTGCAGCTCGCTGTTGCTGGCAGCCTTTCTTTGTGTACTGGAGAACACCATCACTCACCACGCGATGATTGAATAAACACCGTTTGGTGAGACCAGATGGAATTCAACTTTGAAATCTGTGTTAGGGACGCTTTCCAGACAATCGGTGATAATTTTAATTACCAAAGCAACAGTTGCACATTCATGAAATTTTCAATAATGACATTTTGAAAAATGATAAACACTTAAATTGACCAGGTGCGTAGAAATATTTCTCATCGATTGGTGATAAAACTTTTAAAATTGATTCAAGGGGCAGCTTAGTTATTAACGTTCAAAATCTTTCATAATTTTGTTACATAGTCCATTTTCGGTTTTCACAAAGTGTACCCCCATATAGAAATCACAGACGCAGTCCTACGTTAAAATTATGTCATCATGACACACAGCTAAACTCAACCGCAATAATTGATCTTTCGGTTTTGCTTATAGTGCAACTTTTTTCATTATGAGATATTAGATGAGAATAGCATACATATTTTTCCATGTACACCCAACCCTATTTTTCCACAGACACATTTTTTTTCAAATTTCTTTATGTGTGGAGGAGTTAGAAAAGGTCTATTTGGTACCATATTTTTCTTTCATTTTTATTCTGATTTTTCGACACCAGTTGCATCACTCATGGATTCATTGGAACATCAGAAAAAGGAAAATATGACTGCGAAAAAAAGAGAAGGGTGTAAATTTTCTCAACAATCTAAAGCTGATATCACACTGTTTGCCCACACGTCAAATATTTGACACGTTAAGTTTTGCCATTGGTCATATTTATTTGCCTAAGCCATTACGCTTGTCTGCTTGATATTGAGAGCGTATGAGAGCGGAAAAATATCTATATGGAGCTGTTCATTAACGACGTAGATGGTTTTAGGATTCTTGATACCCCCTCCTCAAATTCGTTAGTTGGGCCGAGGGGGGCGACACATCTAAATCTCAATTCTAGATGCTCAACAAATCTCACACTAGCGAATCAATCTTCGAAAAATCTTTCATTTCTCGCATCTACTTGCATCGTGCATAATATTTTTGCAGGACATCTTCAGAATCGTCATCAATCTTCTTTATATCTACTCAGCGTGTGCGCAGCAAAGCACAGCAAAACACAATTTTCCTCGCATCGTAGATAGAGTCGCCCCCTTCGAGTTGGGCCGAGTTGGGGGCCCAACCAGCGAATTTCAACTGTAGAAGGTATGTACCTACAGCAAAACCATGTAATTATATCATTAATTAGCTTCAAGTTTATGTTAGTTTGTGTCACATCTGTAAAATCTGTGTTGGCATACTTTTAACTGATTTTGAGCATGAGCATGATTGACCGCCCGCGGATGCTACTCTGTTATTGCCAGATCAGCTGTAAATTTCACAGAGAACCAATATACGATGCATGCTTGGGACTAGCATTTATTCTCAATATGTAAAAACTGGTGATCTCAAACTAGGCAATAACAGCGCCAGACGCGAACAAACGCAGGTCAAGAAAGGAAAGGGTAGGAATCAACCCCCTGCAATGCGATCCAGTTCTTGAAACTGCCGAAAACATCAGCAGTGCTGGTGATCCATAACATATTTAAGCACCAACCATGTAGCTTTAAATGCGGCAAGGTGGCAATAAATGTAATGCCTTCAAAACCATTCTTGCTTTCCCGCAATGGACAATTAAAAAATGATTCAATTGTTTTCGAATTGACGAGCACAATTTGCGTGAATCATGCTTTCCTATAACGTTATCTAGAAAACTCTATCTATTTTCCGCAACGCGGCATGTACATGTCATAGCTTAATCATAGAGGAAAAGGAGGAGCTATCAAATTAGCACCAGAGCACCAGAGAAATTTGGCTTCACTCGAGTTGTTCGCAGATGACAGGCGTTGCAGTAGGTGTTGTGGTAGGAATGTATTGGCGTGATACCCGCTGTGTTGAAAGCTAAGAAATCCCCTGCACGAGCCTCTGCACTTCCACGAGAAATCACTGGGATGTTGGATAAAAGGGTTGGGTTTGCAGCAGGATTCGTTTTGGTAAACGATATGCTGAATCGATATCCTAACGATACAAAGGAGCTTGGGATTGAAACCACGGTTTTCTGCTCAGTAAGCAAAACACGTTTGTCACTAGACAAACGAGCTCCTTTTATTACAATTATATTGATCGATTTGTTGTTATTCCAATGACGTTGGAGGCGAACCAGCCTAAGGCTGAAAGCCTCCTAAATAAAGCTAAATAATAATAATAATTATTCCAATGTATTCACATTAACAAATAAAGCGATTAACGAACCTTGAATGTGGAGGAGCTTAAGATAAAGCTCATGCTGTTCTACTCAGTAAGCAAAAATGGTCGCTCTAAGGTAACCAAGCCCCTCATATCACATCATACAATCTATGATCGTGTTCCTATGACAACCATTTAAAACCGGTCCCGACGGTGACGTTAATGACGATGTTAAGGTTGCACAAAACACATGATAATCAAGCGATGTTACAATTTTTTTTCCTCTATTTACAAGGCTTTCAGTCATTGGCTGGTTCGCCTTGAACATGTTCGCCTTGGAAGATGTTACAAAAGGTCTCCTTAATATTATAGGACCTGGGATTTATTCAAACTCAAACTCGACGGTGGTTCTCTTTACTCAAGATTAAGCCTCTACGACCGATGATCTTTAGAACCTGGAAACTTCTACTTTTACGCGACGTTGTTGTTTCAACACATTCACGTTTTTGAGCTACCGTGCCCCTTACTTCACAAAGTAAACTACGACTGACGCGACGATTTTACCAGCGTACAAATATTGCACATCTTTTAAGTTATCTTGACCGAACTCTATTGCGTTTGAAAACGACTGTTTCTCTTCCCGATTATGCGACAAACTACCGCATCAAAATAACCAAACCACACAATCAAACACGACCCGCCGTGACTACCGTCAGTCTTCAAACACGGCCGTCATGATGGTGTTAAGGACACACCTGACAACACATTAAAAAATAATCGGTTGAGTGTCAAGCTTGCATGTTCGATCGCGACATTTATTTTCATTTATATTCTTGAATCATGCTTCAAAATGTAAAAAAAAAAATCATAATGCATTATTCGTAGACACCTAACTGTAAAAACTGCCTCACGCGATCGAGGTTATCGGTTTGGCAAATGGGAAACGATGAAAATAAATCTCGATTACTCCCTCAAAGGGACGCATCCGCTCCCGCAAACAATGCATCTGATCCCCAGTCCAGCGAAAACGGCATTCCGGCCACTCATGCCAACACCACCAACAGATAGGGGAAATTTTCGGGCGAGCCACCAGTTACACCAAACCGACCATCAAACGCACTGTCCACAAAAGCAGACGAACGTACTCACCAAATCAATCAAGTCGGGAGAGCATTCTCGATACTTCCACGCAAATTTTCCTCTAGTCAATTTTAAACAATTCCTCCTCCAGCGATTCCAACCACACAATAATTAGATAGGGTAGAGATCTACTTCGGCCTAATCGCCCATTTTGGGTCTATCGAGCAGAAAACTTCAAATAAATCCATGATTTCAGAGTTAACAAGTCAATTATGCGTTTGGTACGATACTTTAAAGGGTGATACGGTCAAAATTTGGTCAAGGGAAAACGCGTGTAAATCGGTGAAATCGTTTATTTAAAAAATCAAATTAAATTTCTTTTTCAAGTTCAATTAGTATAAAATTCAGGAAAAATATTCAGTTAGGCTTCCGCTTTTCCAAATCCGAATTGCCGGGCCTTACGCTTGACCCCTGCCATCAGATTTTGTACAGCCACCTTGTCCACCTTCTTCGCCGCAGAAAGCCAGTTTGCCTTGAACTGCTGCTCGCCCTTAGCAGTTTTTTTGGTCTTCTTTAGGTTCCGCTTGACAATAGCCCAGTATTTCTCAATTGGGCGGAGCTCTGGCGTGTTGGGAGGGTTCTTGTCCTTGGGAACCACCTGCACGTTGTTGGCG